AACACAACCAACAGCCCTTAATTTCAATGAGAGGTTCCATGACACACATTTTGTGGCATGTTTTGTTACCTGGAAAAAATACACATTGAGCAATACGATGACATTACAAATAAGAATTATAACAGTAAATGGAATCCTCTATATAATTGGCCAGGTATGGCGAGGGCTCTGTGTCCATTACCCTAACCACTTTCCCAGTCAGCGTTACGCAACCGAAATGCCGCCACATCCTAAATGGTTTACAAAGGTAAAAGTCACTTTACATGAGCGTGTTAATGAAGACTGGCAGCCTCACGCACTCCCCCTCCTTATCTGTAAGTAGTGACCTGTTAATGTGTTGACACTGTCCAACTGTTTCATTGTTGACCAACAAGCAAACTTTCTTGGACAATAAGTGAATGACTATGTTGTGTTTAGAGGAGAGGTGTTGCCCCACCTTGCTAATACCACGGTAACTGTTTGTTGAGGGGCACCTGCACGGCCCCTGGGGACGTACGACACTAAGTTATACCATTGCTTGCTTAACAAATTAATCACTTCAACGCTACATGACCTCCGGCCAGAACAACAGCAACGTAGGTCTTTAATTATATTACACTTATACTCTGTGCCGTATCTATGTTTTATTTTCTAGCTGGTGTGTTTGTGTTTGGTTTGAAGATTTCATATGAGTTTAATCTTTGACATTTCCATGTTTAATTTGTTTCTAGATTGGTACACTTGTTGGTGATAATGTCTTGTTTGCATTTGTTGTATCTATACCACTCTATGTTTGGTAGGAATGAAGATATATCATTCTATTTCAAAATACACTTGATAGATTATGAATATCAGTTTTATGTATCAAGGAGAGAGAAATGTATCCCTATCAATAGTGCATTGATATACATCACTCAACTTTGGATAAGGATCATACTGATATTTCTAAACACAACAATATCATTACTTAGCAATCGGTATGTATTTAAGTCATGTGAAATATCTCTTCAGCCCTTTAAAAGTATGTGTAAATACATACTGTGTATATGTGTGTCTGTCTGTGTGTTTAGGCATAAAATCCATCATGTATGACCTGAAAGATTCACTGGCCTGAAAACAGTGTCCTTTGAATAATGAATCTACTAATTCTAAATTATTTTTTAATATATACTACCTTAGAACTGAATTTTATAAACCTTGTGTGTTATTACCTACAAATTAACTTCTTTCTAATGAAAATAATATGAAATGTCTCCATTTTCCCATCAAGAGGCTAAGTTGTATGTCTTATCTGTTTTTTTTGCTTCTAAACATTACATGTTGTATGAGCAAGTGGAGTCTAACAGTACCTGAATTATCACAGCATCACCGAATTATGAAACACATTTAGACGATGATGTTTTCAAAGGCAAGGAATAATTGAGAATGACTTTTTAATATATTCCATAATGGAAAAATTCTGGTGCCATGCAGTGACCACGGAATGATTTGACTCCTGTGTCTAGAAGTGTTTTACGTCCTTTTGATAATGTTTGTGTAGTGGTTCTTGGATGTGACTTGCACAGCAAGACTTATGTTTACTTATTCTAAGAAAATAATAGCGTCTTTGAACAGCAATTAGAAGTGATACACATAAAAGTGAGAATTTATGGATGTCAAGTCCTTTATGTTGAGGAACATGATGTTTCAGAATGTATTCTTACTTCTTTATCAGGTGAATTCATGCACCTGATGAAGGGGCAAAAATATACTAAAAAATCATGTTCCTCATTCACCTGATAAAGGACTAAGAATATACAGTGAATGGTTGTGTTCCTCAAAATAAAGAAGTTGGCATCCTGAAATTCTTGCCTTAAAGGGGGAGGTGGGGTAGCCTTGTGGTTAAAGCATTGGCTCGTCACGACGAAGACCCGGGTTCGAATCCCCACGTGGGTACAATGTGTGAAGCCCATTTCTGGTGTCCCCCGCCGTGATGTTGTTGGAATATTGCTAAAAGCAGCGTAAAACCAAACTCAGTCAGTCAGTCAGTCTTGCTTTAAAGAAAAACAATTGTTTTCAGAGAGTGGATGATATTTTGTGTATAAGTGATAACATTTACAATGTTCATGCAAATCTGACATTTTCATACACATGGTTAAACCTTGCGTTGGTGTGTTCGGTTTTGAAAATGTTTTGTTGTGGCCGACCCAAGCATGTCAGTATGTACATACAGCGGCTTGTGTACATGGTTCGCTGTTATTCCACTTGTTACTCTCTGACCTGGCCAGCATCATGCTGCTCCTGCCTATGCCCACCTGTAAACACTGACCATGCCTGTTCGTTACAGGTAAGCATTCGTGGTGGAGTGCCCCCGTTAATAGCTTTCAAGTCAGAGCTCATCGTTTGTATAAGGATTTTGTCACTATCATTTACGAACAATTTTCTTTTTAAAGCAGACAAAAGTTTTCGCAGAGCCATCTTTCATGAAAGACGTTTTTGTAATATAACAATGGATGACTGCTGTTGAAAGTCTTTTGATCACTGACAGTGAAACTTTGTTCACTTTATCTTCCGATGCAAGAGATGCACACTGATCATGAACAGAGATCTTTATCTGTTTCTGAATGATGGCTTGTATTGACATCAACTGAGAAAGTTTATTTCTTTGATACAATGCTACATAGTGCCTTTCTGTGGATTTAAATTAATCTTTGTACGAGAACCGTACGCATTCACCTTTCATTCATGGATTTAATGCATACATTTTGGTGATATTGTGTACATCAAGCCTACATAGGGACAATACGTTTTATTTTACAAAAAAATCCTGGTTTTATATTTCACAACTATATATTGGCTATTAAATCTGCATAATGTTTTAGAAGTTGTTACTAAGACATGTAATAAAATCTTATCATTATCAGATAAGCAGTTACTTAGGGATACGTTTATGAGTTTTTTCTATTGAAATTACATTTTAATGGCTGCTTTGAAAATAACAACATTCCCTCATCGTTCATGCTCCCTACATTTAAGTGTATGGAAATGACAGGGTACGTCTCTTGATATTTGTGCAAATGTTATGAAATGCACGCTTACACAGGGCTCTATTATTGTTACCATTTCACATGTGAATGAATACGAGCAGTGATAAACATCTACTGCAGCAGCAGTGAATGTTTTAAAGGTTGGAACTGGTAGCCCAGTTGGCTAATGTTCTGCAGTCACTGAGCAGAGTTGTGTCCCTTGGGCACAACTGAACCCTTTGATCGTGGGTTCGAATCCCACCTGTTTCTAAGTTTGTCCTGTGCCCTGTTTTATATGTTTGAAAGTGGCATCACTTAGGGCTTTCCTAATGACTTGAAGTTGACATGCTTTGACATAACTCACTTGCTTCCAAAGTATATACAGAAAAGGGTGAGTTGGAAACAAAATTCTGTGCTTGTGTTTTTTTAGTTGTTTGACAGAAATCAGGCCCCAATAAGGACCTAGGTTCTAGTTGTAGATGTATTTGTAAAAATTGACTAAAAATTAAAATCGGAGGTGTTAAAGTTACAACATGCAACTGTTTTCTTCAAACCACAATGGTAAGGATCTTTGTTCAGACTTATCTAAAGCATTCTTTCTTTTGAATATGCTAGGTATTTTTAGAAATGAAATACACCAGTATACCTTCAAAGGTTTTCTTACCTGGAACTTTGTCAGTGATCAAAAGCTTGAAGATTAAGCCCCTTTTTATTAATATCACAGCTTTACAAAACATATCCTTACTCAAACATATCATCTATGAAAAGCAATTTTCACAAGTTATTGACCGCATACAAAAATTATTTATCATTTTTATTACAATTCCTATGTGATAGGAGGTATTTAACATTGGAAGCTTCTCGCATTATTTCCATCTCTGTTTTGTAAAAGGTGTCATGGTTGTTTGCAAACATGATCCCCCTTTATGTCACAGCTCTCGTAAATGCCTCTGACCATCCTCACGATACGATCAAATTGACGTCCCCGGTATTTGACCGATATTTGACATACCTGATGGTCAGTGATGAGGAAGATAGTTTTGATGTTGCTTGTATGGTCGGTCACTCTCTGGGTCCATCACCATCCGTCAGCCAGCCTTTGTGTACGGCAGGGATTGACTTTGACTAAATCTACTGCTTGTTCAGGCTTCAAGCATGTGCTTTCAGCACTGGCTTTTTAGAAAACTTGTTTGTGAATCGTAGGTCCGTATTTCAAATCGTCAGATCTGCTGAGAAAGTAGTAGGGTGTGGTTCTATTCTATATCTGTTTCATGATCAAAAATATTAAAAGATGGTACTTGTTGTCACCCTGCCTTGTGCTTGTGTACAAGGAATGGAACAATGCTTCCTGACTCAGAGTCAGTATGATGTATCTGAGTCAGATACCGCTGTCTAACCGTGGCTTGTTATGTGAAAGGGCTCAGCTATGAAACTCAAGCATGCACGCATGCACGCACGCACGCACGCACGCATGCACACACATACACACACACACACACACACACACTGTAAGTGCATTGATCTTGAACGTTACCTCACCTCAAATCATCACAGCATGGTGTCTCCTTAGGCAACTGACTTTTTTCAAAATATGCTTCTGTTTACCTGGTTGTGGCCTGGGTACCTGGTAGGATGAGATGGTAATAAGACTTAATCTTCAAGCACCTAGCTGGCTGTTAAGGGTGTATATTTCCCAGGGAGCTGAGAAGGAAAATCAAGTGACCAGTGAACTGTGAAAATGTGTGGTGTCTGATATGAGATAATATAAAATGGTCCATAAGCTGAAGAAAATGAAGTGTGATGTGAAGTTGAAGGTATTCAAGGGACACAACCCTCTTCAAACGTTATGTGATATGATGACTAACTTGAATCAAAAGTTTATTTGTGACTAATTGCATGATGTGATTTGAAATTCAATGTATTCAATGGACACAAACATCTTCAAACAGTATATGATATAATGCCGAATTTAAATTTAAAATTGTTTGTTGTAAATGCTCGATGTGATTTTTTCAGATGAATGAGTCCTTCCTCAACTGCAGCAAGTGATGCTGACTGTATGGATTACTTAAGATGAGCGGAGGGATGACGTCCGTGCTAATGTTACACCTGGGGACATTCATTCTCTGCAGTGTTACCATCGTTACCATCGTCACCGCATTTGAAAACAATGGACACATCGAACACTACGAAGACCGGATCCCGTCAGACTTCCGATTCACCACATACGAAGGTAGGGACAGTTTCAAGGATGAGAGAGTGTATGGGTAGCCCTGTGGTTACAGTGTTTGATTGTCACCTGGGTTCAGTTCCCAACATGGTGCCTTGATGTCTGTGCTGTGATGTGGTTTAAATATTGCCCCGATGGCATGAAAATATGTTTGCATATTCTCACACAGTTGTCAATTCTCTTATTTCTATTAGTAGTGTCTTGCATAAATACCAAGGCAGTGTTTGAATACACAATTCCATTAAGTGGATCTGCAGTGGCTGAGTGGGTTAGATGGTTGACTTTGTGTGCTGGTGATTAGATGCCTGACTCTGAGGGTGTGGGTTCGAATCCCGGATGAGACTCAACCCAACAAAAGTACTGGAATCTGTACTTTACTGAGAACAATTGTTAAGACAGTGTTTGCTGATGGCATCCAAGGGTCAAGGCCAAGTGGCTGAATATCGCTTATTTGTTTTGTAAACTTTAGAAATGCAGCACATTCTAATAAAATCACAAATGATTTAACGTCTGATATATTAGCTAACCAAGCATTTGTTTTTGAAAAACATAACTGTCTGTTTTTAGGTCAAACAAGTTTTTCTGATTGGCTTGTAATAGAATGGGTGGGGCTTGTGTTTCAGTATTGTGCCAGACGATGTCATTGTCTTCACACTGATGTCTAACAAGGAGCCTGTAGACATGTTGTGTGAATCTGCCTGTTTTTACACAGAAGGCGGACCAGTTTTTGTTTTTATACCTCCATAAACACAGAAAATGTTGACGTCAAATCTAGGATGTTTGAAGGACTAGCAGCTAACCCAGAGGATCGGCCATATTAGTTTGTGTGCATGTTTTAAAAAATCATGTTAAAACAAGCACTTTTTAACACAGGCATTTGGCACCTACGTGACATGTGTGCCGACCTTGTGTCAGGAACTTTTGGTTGGAAACTAAGACGATTGTGTCACAGATGCCCAAAAGGAAATTTGAATAATTGTTTTGTTAAATATTGGTTTATAATCAACTGTCCACCTTAACTGCAAATTTCAGAAATTTTAATTAAATTTCTCTCTGAAATACTCCTCTAACAAACGTATTGGGTTTTCTTGTCAACTACCTTGTCACTCAATACTCTGACAAAACTGATATTTTCTTTAGAGTCAATATTTTCAGGTCATGAGATGAGAGAATATGTTTTTGTAACCAGGAAAGTTCAAATGAAATATTCATGAATATTTTTGTTTGATGATAATCATGATTATACTTTGAAAACTAATTTCCTTTAAAACTATTGTGTTAGTCAGTCAGAAAGTAGTTCTGCAGAAAGTGTTATTTGACATGCGTGAGATATCAATGATATCCTTTCACCATTGATATTCATTTCATAATTTCACAGTCAGTAATAAAGAATATATTCAGCAGAAGTTATTACATCAATGATAAAATGAAAGCTACACAAACTGCTTTTAAATTCACATTCTTTTGACGAATATCAAATAAGCCCATATTGATATGTACATTATGCAGTTGTGACAATCCAATTGAGGTGACTATAATCCACCTTTCTTATACCTACAACTGGTACTAGTCAGATATGGGGGATATAAATGTTCAATTTGATTATTCAACCTTTTAGATGTCATAACATGTACATAACGCTGTGTCACCGAATAAATCCATCACCTGTCTTTAACTCAAGTAGTTGACGTGTATGTCAATATCCCCAGCCGTGCCCTTTGTCCAACACATATATATATATTTCAATTAATGCTTGGAGAATTTATGCTTTTAAAGGAGGACACCAGGTTGCATTCATCCAATATCAAACTTTGTTGAACAAACTGTTACGTCCCTTTCATATTGTTGGTAATTACTCGAGTGATTTGTACTGTAAACATCCTTGTTTGTCCTCTCTGTTTTGGCGATACAGAGAAATATGCAAACAAATTTGTTCAGTCTAAACCAACACAGGAGTGTTTCCTGGGCCAATATCGAGAGAAATATGCTGTGGATTTATCAAAATGAAGTAAATATTTCTCTGATTAGAGACCGGCTTGGAGAAGTCAGTTTGGTGTCAGTTTTCAGGATTTCTAAAGCAGATCATAGTGTCTAAGCTACCTGTTTCAAACATTAAGTGAATTATTATTGTCTTGATGGGAAAGTGGACATAACTAATTACAAATTACAGAGAAGAATTTGAACAGGTAATCAGGATTTTTTTTTCATATTTTCTGACAAATATTTCTTAGAATTGTTTGATGGGCATTTCATAAAAGTTGACAGATGACAAAGTAAACACACTTTATGGACAACAACTTCTTTTTTATTTTATAATAGTGTCATTAATGTATAGATCTTCATACCATTGTCAATGAAGTCTATGTTAAATACTTCCATGTGAACAGTTGTAAGGAAAGGTGGCTATGGAAGTACAATATCATGCTTACAAATGTCTATGCTCAGAAGAGTAAAACCTTTCCATTTTTTTTCCTGAAGTTATTGTTTTGTTAATAGTTAATTCTGTCATTATTGGTTTGAGCATAGAAAGAATGAGAGATGAATATTCATCACATTAAACATTTATTATTTGCATCTATTTGTCAAACACAATTTTATTTGAAATTTCTTCCTATTACTCAGTGTTCTTCCTATTTAGCCAGTGTATCATGTTATTGTGTGTATATAACTATTTACATGTATTTGTGTGCAGTAATTCCACACAAAACCCATAAAGACATGGTTCTCTTATCTCACAGAAAGATGTATTCCATTCTTACACAGCCAACAAAGTTCACTAATGGCCAGTTGTAGTATTCCTGATAGTGCCACCTCTCAACTATCATCTCACAAAGACACTATAAAATGTCAGTCTCACATAAAATGAGCTCAAAGTGCTCATCACGTCTTAAATGAGATTCTTGTCTCAAATACCTGCCAATGAAAACATCTGGCTGCCGCTCCGACTACTGCCATTAGTTATGTTTTGTTGTAAGGGAAGCAGTATGGCTCGAGGGAGTAACGGGCATATCAAACTGGTGTATTTATTTACAGTTATCTTTTAGTGAAACTGTGCATCCCTATCTATGTTGTCCTCAGCGTGACCTCTGACTGACACGATCAACCTGTCCCTAACGACTACTTGCATATACTGTGCGCACACATGGGGAACTTCTCAAAAAAGCAAAACTATATATTCCAAACTTTCTAAGTTTTATGGCTGAAAGTAGGCTGTTGTGTCCGGCTCAAGGAACACGAGTACATGATCAAAGCAGGGAACCTCTCAGAAGTAACATTTTATATTCCAGTTAATCACTTTTGTGTTAAATTAAGGGAACTTTAAAAATATTTGTAACTTTTCTGAAGATCCATAAACACTCACTTCATAATTCACCCAAAACAAAATGATATTGCACATGAACTAATATAAGGAAGTTTCTACTGGGAAATAGTCACTTTAAATAAGAAATGACATGTTACTTTATTAATATAAGAAACAGTGAATTTATGTTTAAATATTTTGGCTCTCATAGCTAGTTTGGCCTAATGGTTAAAGTGTTATTTCATCATGCCAAAGATATGGGTCTTGATTCCACTTGTGGGTATGATGTGTGAAGAGCATGCTTTGCACCAACTGCTGTATGGCTGAAAAAGGGTTAAAAGTGTTGTATGAAATTTATAGGGTTAATGTCTATCATGAGAACTTAAAAGAAGTACTGTTATTTCATATATTTTAAGTATCCAGACATTTTACTTGTGTTATGAGGCGTTGCACTCAGAGTGCCTGTGATTGTCCTTTTACTTCTGTTATGAGGCGTTGCACTCAGAGTGCCTGTGATTGTCCTTAAAATATTTGTAAATCCATATTTTCAGAAAATATTTATGAAATTTGCATATGAAAAACAATGAAAGAATTGTAAACGTGTGTGACATTTCTTTGCAATGGCTTAAGGATCTGGGTGTTTCTTGATACTTAACCTCCGTGATTGGCAGTCTGGTTGTAAAATGGTTGGAATTTAAGACAGAAGTTGTATTTAACGCTGACATTAATTTGATTCATGCTAAGTTTGAGTGATGATTCAAGGAAATACTCCAGGATGAAACATCAAAATCTGGGAAAAGAATTATTTACATGCACACCAGGTCTGTTCTTGTGTTCTGTTGTCACGATAGTGATGGCATGGCTTTGTGATGAAAGTGTTTACTGGTGAACTGAATATCTGGGTTAGATTGACCAAGGTACAGTTCATGAAACTAATTACCGGTGTCCCTAAATGGAATATTGCTGGAATACTCACTCACTCAACCACTCAACCACTCAACCACTCACTCACTCACTCAACCACTCAACCACTCACAACCACTCACTCACTCAACCACTCACACACTCACTCAACCACTCACTCAACAACTCACTCAACCACTCACTCAACAACTCACTCAACAACTCACTCAACCACTCACTCATCAACTCAACACTCACTCAACAACTCACTCAACAACTCACTCACTCAACTCACTCAACTACTCACTCAACTCACTCAACAACTCACTCAACAACTCTCAACAACTCACTCAACAACTCACTCAACTCACTCAAACAACTCACTCAACAACTCACTCAACCACTCAACAACTCACTCAACCACTCACTCAACAACTCAACTACTCACTCAACCACTCACTCAACAACTCACACTCAAACAACTCAACCACTCACTCAACTCAACCACTCAACCACTCACTCAACCACTCACTCAACAACCACTTCACTCAACCACTCACTCAACCACTCAACAACAACTCACTCAACCACTCAACTCACTCAACAACTCACTCAACAACTCACTCAACAACCACTCACTCAACAACAACTCAACCACTCACTCAACCACTCAACAACAACTCACTCAACACTCAACCACTCACTCAACCACTCACAACCACTCACTCAACCACTCACTCAACCACTCACTCAACCACTCACTCAACTCACTCACTCAACCACTCAACCACTACTCACT